GACCACACTATATGGTAAGGTGTCAAAGACTGATGTATTACTAATTAACTTCTTGAAATAAAAGCATATACAGAAATAAAATGTAAGTTTTTACAGCATTAAAGCAAGATGAAGGACTGTGTTTATATTTGTTAGGTGGTGCATAATGTAATGAGGACACGTAAAATAAAAAAGCTAAATAGAAAATTCATAATGAGCATATACATGTTTTTCAGAAATACTTCACCTTCTTCAGTGTTTTTGAGAAATGTTTACTAAAAACTAATGATGAAAAGAACAATTACCCAGTTCAGAAGAGAACACTTTATATTATTAATACTATACAGAAAATAAATATTCTTTAAAGCAAACACTAAAGTCAAATTTAGAAAGTGAGCCACAACATAAGTGAGCTATAACATTAAATCTTCCTCTGTCTTTTGCACTCATGGGCCTCCACAGCCTGTATATTTAGAAACTCACAATATGAAACAGAGTACGAAAAAAAAAAGCAGCACAATTCTCAGTATTTTTCAAAATGCTAAAGAAACAATGGATGTGCATTTTCAACAACATCATAAAATAAATCTTCACAGCTAAGGGTCACTTTAATATGTTTACCACGAGGAATTTTTTTAATTGAAGTTTAAAGCTAATACAGGGTGGGGGGGAAGAATTTCCTCTCAAACTCTCATTCAAAATCTAAATCTTACAGAAAAATCTAAAATAACTTACAGATGCATTCCGATTTGAAAAATATACGAGTAGTTTTGAAATCTTGAGTCGTGTGCATATAAAGTTTATTACTTCCACTTTAAAACACACACTCAAAACCCACCGCACTGCTAAGGCTCAACGCATGGCTGCATTTGAAAAGAAGACCAGAACAGGTGGTTGGGTAGATCACTGCCCAGTTCTAGAAAGAAGAAAACAGACTAGGCAAGGGACACTTTGGAAAAGCTGCGTCAGGTGTCCGTTAATGCTCCCATTTTTAGGGAGCCGTGCCCTGTACTTTGTTTTAAATACTCATTCTATCTCACAATCAATCCCTCTGCAGCAACTAATACCCACTGCGTGATGAGTACAGAGCTACAGTGGGTCCCTGGCCACCTGCCTTTGCTGCCTCTCAAAAGCCACATGGGTAATCGCATTACAGCCTCAGGAGGAGGCCCAGAAATCCTACTGGAAATAAAGGTTTTTAGAAAAGTTAAAACGTCCGTCATACCACAAGACTGACTTTCACAAGTCATTAAAACAGAAAGAACCCGCAGAAACTAAAGGAAAAACATTCTAGAGGCATTTATTCATATGGGGGCAGAGGAATTATAGTCGTTTAATTGGAGAGAAGTAGCCTTGTCCTCTTTTTAAAAGCCCCAAGAGCTTTCCATTTGGCATCTCGTCTGTCGATGGGTGCAAGATGCAGCCATGTATAAATGTACAAAGAGTGACCAAAAAATTACTTCAAGATAGAAATATCAACAGGACTTGGGAGGCCTTGAAAGTTAAGATGTGATTATGGGGAAGGAAGGAAGAGAAGTGTTTCGGGGTTTGTTTTCAAAGTCAGGGGCTGAGGTTGGAGGTGGAAGGTAGTTTTTTCAAAATACAAATGAACTCGGTAGGTGGATAACACTATCTGGTAACAAAGTTCGCCTAGGAGAACGGCCTAACCAGGCAGCCTGTCTACGAAAAACAAACCGGAACCAACACGAGCCTTGTCACAGTGTCCTCCTGAGCTGCGTGCATATATGCATTCCCATGGGAGCCCCATACTTACCCTATAAACACCGAGGTGAAAAAAGATAGTCTTCTCAACTACCTCTTGAAACACAGCTAAAACTCTTCATTGCTTAATAAACTAATAAAAGAAGTTTTAAGAAAATGAAGCTATCTGAGAAAGTTTTATCATAAAGTTAGTAATTAAATTCTGAAATTGAAATATAAACCCTAAATTGTGGAAGTAGTAGGATTATAAATCTCCATGCCAGCATTTCTCAGTTAAACTAGAAGCTGGGTCATAGTCATGAGATCCTCCACTCCCCTTTTCAAAATAAAGTGATAAGAACTGTGTCATTTTCTATGAAATCTTAAACTCTATTTCTTCTGGCCTATTCCATTCGAAACTGAAATTCTCTTCCCCATAAATATTTTAATGCCGTTCTCCTGTGAGCAGAAACGATCCATCAGCAAACAATTTCATAATTGTTTCACAAGCTTACAATGCACAGAATGCCACAAAGCAAAGGTCCTGGGTGGAAGAGAAAAAGGTTCCTCCACTTTGAAAATAAGAGTGAAGTCTTGAGAATATACCGTCAAATGAAGAAACAGATACTGTGGCCAACGTGTAATTAATTCAAATGCAGAGTAAACAAACTG